AGACATGTCAGTAAAAGCAGTTAAACTATCAGACTGCTTATGCACTGGATTCTTTTTTTTTTCTTTTTTAAGACTTTAGTTATTATTTTTATAATATATGTATGAATGTATTGCCTGCATGTATGTAAGTGTACCCATGTTATGCAATGCCCATGGAGATTGGAAGAGGGCATCGGATCCCGTGGACCTGGAGTTATGGGCTGTGGAGTTGCCTGCCATGTGTGTGCTGGGAACCGAGCCCAGGTCCTCTACAAGACCAGCCAGTGCTCTTAACCGCTGAACCATCTCTCCAGCCCCAGATTCATTTCTTTTTAAAAACCATGCAGAAATAAACAAGGACTCATAGAGTGTGACATGCTGTCAAGACTTTATTTTGGACATCATCTAGCAGCTTTAAGGAGGATCTGTTCTGAACAGTTCTTGAAAAAAAAATCAATTACATGAGACCTGACCTCAAAACCTCAGCTTCTGCTTCTCCAGGAATAGTTGCTTTTCTCATCTTATTTTTATTACAATAATAATGAAAAGACTATTTTATTCAATTAGTTGAATTAATGCTATTGTTGATACCTTGAGCTGGAATAATCTATATATAACTTTTTCACTGTGTGGCAATGACAAACATTGATCATTCATCATTACTGCTTTTTGTGATGTCTTTAAGCAAAGACTAAATTTTCACTCCAGTTTACAGTACATTCTGATATGCTGAAGAATTCCAAAGGCCCTTTAGGTTGTTTAGAACATACTCCAAGCAGTTCTTTCCCAGCCTCCTCAAGTGTTTCCAGTTCCCATCACTGTTATTAGAATCTCCGTATCATCAGGCAGCTAACGGAGCTTTTTGAGCGGGAGACTGAAATAAAGTAATATTGTACACTTACAGTCAAGCTGACGCTTTCAGTTATTCTAACAGTAGATTGCTAGAATGATTTTTTCCCTTCAGTTACCTGTTTTACAATAAAATATGTTCATGTCCTTGTTATCCAAATTTTAGTGTCTTTCTTCATAAACGCATAATTAATAATGATTAAATGAACACCTGCGTTTGTTGCTATTCTTAACAAAATCAGCAACAAGAAAACCTCTGAGACAAAGAAAAGCTGAGATTGTTTTCTTTAAGATCTGGAACCAAACAAGGGTGTTAACATTTATCACTCCTGTTCAAATGGCCTTGGATATCTTAGAGGGTTTAGGAAAGAGAAAGAAGAAAGAGATCCTGATGCTGAACGAGCAATCAAGTGATCCTGTTTGAGGACGACATGATCTTTCAGAGAAAAAACACTACAGATGCCACCAAAAATGGTTGGAACTGGTAAATGAATTCAAGAAACTTCTAGAACACCAAACCGTCACAACAGTCTGAAGGATTTTTATGTACCAGTAATCAACAGCTGAAAAAGAAATAAAAAAGCAATCTCATTAATCATAAGCATACCTAGAATCACAGAGAAATAAATTATTCAGGAATAAATTTTACCAAAGAAGTTAAAGAGGGTTAACATGATGGCTCAGTGGGCAAAGTGCTTGCCACCAAGTCTGAGTTTGCAGTTGAGTGAGCATGTATACACACACACACACACACATACACACCCAACACACACGAACACACACAGATGTAATTTAAAAGATTGTGGAAGAAGAAGTAAAAGTCCTCAACAATGAAAATTATAAAACAATGAAAGAAATTATAGAGGTCACACATAAGAAAACAGAGTCATCTCATACTGTTTGACCAGTAGTATTATAAAATGTCCATCCAATCTAAAGCAGTCTGCAGATTCACTGCAACCATGATCAAAACAACAGCAGTCTTCACAGATACAGGAAAAGAAAAAAAATCATATGGGATCTCAAAAGACCCCAAGCGGCTAAAGTACTTCTAAGAAAAAAGAGCAAACTGGAGTATTGTAATATTGACTTCAAGACACAGTGCATACCAGAACCAGACATTAATCAATGACATGGAACAGGGAATCCAAAAATCAACCCATAGTCACAGCGAACTGAGTTGACAGTGAGACCAAGAGCACACACCAGAGAAAGGACAATCTCTTCTGGCGATGGTGTTATGAAAACTGGACAGATGCATAGTGCAGTGTTGCTAGATTCCTACCTCTCAAGGTATAAAAAAATGAACTCAAAGTGAATCAAGAATCTAATGTAGGAGGGAAGCTAGAAAATACTTGTAGGGGGGCTGGAGAGATGGCTCAGCAGTTAAGAGCACTGACTGCTCTTGCAGAAGACCGGGGTTTGAGTCCCAGCACCTACATGGCAGCTACGAACCATCCTTAACTCCAGCTCCAGGGGAATCCAAAGCCCTCTTCTGACTTCTACAGCACTGCACAACATGGGTGCACTCACATACATGCATGTAATACACTCATACACATAAAATAACAATAATAAATAAAATACTAAAAAAAAAGAAGATACTCATAGAAAGTACAGAGGAAACATTTCATGACATTGGTGCAGGTGAAGATTTCTGAGTTAAACTTCAAGAGCAGAGGCAAACAAAACAAAACAATGAAAAAATGGACAAACGGGATTAAATTAAACCAAGAAACTTCTACATAACGAAAGTAAATAATAAACCAGATAAGCAGACAACCTCAAGAATAAAAGAAAATATTTGTAAACTATATATCTGACAGTGGATTAATATCCAGGATATATAAAGGACTTAGGAGCAAAGCATAAATAATTTGATTAAAAAATGGGCAAATGACAGGAATAGGAATGGGAAATGGTGAGTATGATATGAGGGTGAAATGGAAGAGGAATCAACTTGCTCATCCCAGGTAGAATGGATTTTCATCAAATAAACACACTGTTGGTGGGAAGGCAAATTAGCATAGCCATTACTGAAGAAGTTAATCTTTGGAAGCAGAGTACAGAGCAGAGGTCACTAGAGGCTAGGATGTGGGGGATAAAGAATGGTCAGACAATGGGTAACAAAATAGAGTTAGAAGGAGAAATTCGCTCTGCTGGTCTGTGGCACAGTGAAGCAATGATAATGCACAATAATGTACTATACATTTTAAAACAACCCCAAAAGAGTTTGAAAGTTACAAACTCATACAAATAATAATCTATGAGACAAATGAAAATTATGCTGATTTGATCATTACACACTGTATATATGTATAAATTACAATACTGTGCCTCATACATACATTTGACAAAAAGCCTTTAAAAATGTGAGATGAATCTAGAGATGGCCATATGTACCACTAGCTTGTCACCATATTATTTTTAGACAAATGAAGATTCAGGTTCAGGAGAGTGGATAACCCAGAGCCATTATCACTCTGTCCCTCAAAGTTTCCCTTCACCAGGGTGGCAGCTACATGTGCAAACAGATGGGTAGGAGTTTAGGCTTACCCAGATGAGGAATCTCATCAAGGGAACACTTAAAAGACGTCACACACATTCTTGCCATATTTCAATCAAAACACAAAGAGGAAAAACCCACTAAAACAAAAACCTTGGAATTTGTAGTGTCTGGCTTCAAAGCTTTTCATGTAACATCTTAATATCAATTCACAGCTGAACAACTCAAGCCACTGAAGATACAAGAAAGCATGCGATCAGCATGAGTCTACAGTGCATCGAAGAACCTTATATAACATGATAGGCCAGGAGTCTTCACCATTAAAAAAAATTCCTTAGAGGCTAACTTTTGGCACGTGTTGCTTTTGACTGTTTTGTCACTGTATCCCCCAAATAGCATAATGTGTGCCTTTAGGATTTTTCCATTCCCCACACATACAGCACCATCGCTATAGCATTTCCCTGCTGAAAGTGCCTACCTCCCTTTGCTAGAAGGTAAAACACGTAAAGACAGAGGTGAGGCTTCATTCCTCCCCCCTGCCCAGTTTGGCATAGTGCATGGTATGTAAGAGGTATTCAACACATTTCCTAGATTTCCTAGTGTCAGACAGTCTGGATATGAAGGATAATCCTCTGTAAATTCTAAAGCCCAGTATATCTGCTATTTTAATGGTGTGTTTTGATTCTTCCTGCAATCACAGTGAATCTACCATGTCTCAAATTCAGAATATTCTCTTTGAGTCTTACTTTAGAACTGCCTTTATTTTAAAGACAGGAAAACAAACAATCCAAACTCATTTCCCTGTGTTAAGCTAACATGGGCATTTAAAAAAATAATACAGCGCTGTGATTTTCACTAGACTAGGAATGGTTATTTTGGAACTACGTTGGACTTTAGATATTTGAAGCAGTAATTACTTCCTCCATAAATGTTACCTTCTAGAGTCAAATACTATTTTCCCACTGCAGTTCACTTTTTTCTTAAAGGAAAATGTCTTTTTTTCCCATAATTTACTGTGCTATGTTATTCCATGTGTTAATTTTCCTTTTCATTTCTTTAGATAGCATTGCAAAGTCCATCAACTGTCCTCAGAATGAGGACAGCAGCTTAAATTTTTTCAGTAATTATTCTGTGCCAAACATTTTATTAAGTATTATACTTTATATGTACTATGCCATTGAATACCCAGAAAATATGATGTGAGTGACCTTATATATCTCTAGCTCTGTATCATAACATTTTATCTCATATAGTATCATTTCAGTCCATAAATCTGTCCATTATTGGAGCTTAGGGGGATTTTTTTTTTCCAACTACTACATGGTGTGGTCAGAGTGACATTGAAGGAAAGCTCGTCTCCAGATGTTACACTCTTGGTTTTTTAAAGTTCTAAATGTCCAATAACAAAATTCAATGAGCTTACTTTGTATATTTCTGGATTCGTGGCATGTTTTAGTGAATTACTTATGTAGTACTAATAAAAAAATACCTCTTTAGGACAGTAATTAAGTAAGCACTCAAGCCATTGACGACACCAAGACAGCATGCTATCAGCACATAGCTCTCTTAAGCTATGGTCATTTTTCCGTGCGGAATGAAAGAATACCAATTCTTATCTGATGTGCAGCAACATTCACTATTTGAGACTGTGATGTTGACAACTTACCGTGGCCTTGGGTTTGGTGCCAGAATCAGTCACCAGGGTCGAAGATGGTAAAGCAGTGAATTCAGTGTGTGACGTCAAATTTGCCTGTGCCTGAATGATTGAGATAATATGTGCTCCACTTTCAGATCCTGATTCCAGATCCTGTTAAAAACAAATGCACTGATTTGTGGAGGGATAGACGAGTGCCCTCTCCATGCCCGTTCCCTCCTACCAGCAGCCTTCCACCTCTGTCAGGCGCCACACCCCGACACAGTACAGATCTAGTTATGGCGACTCGGTCCCACAGACTTAATTTTATAAGTACAGTTGTACTCTCCTGAGGGTCTGTAAATATTTGATGAAAAGGTTATATACTGCTTTGTTAACATAATAGATTAATGTGAACTGGAAGGGCCAGCTGGGGCACTGTAGTAAGAGTTAGGAAGTGGTATCTCATAGACATCCCTTCCTCACTATGTGACCTGGAGTAGTGCATTTAACCTCACACAGGCAACAAAGTATGTTCTAGACTTCATCACAGGGCCTTTGCACAGGTCAAACGAAAAGATGCCTCTAATTTTTCCTTACCTTACTCTTTTCTGTGCCCTGTGGCCTGGGATCACGTAGCTCAAGCATATGCATGTATGATGAAATATATATTTATACTACTTAAGGACAGGAATTACATCTTGCCTAGTGTGATTCAATCCCCACATGTGAATATGAGCATAATAATAGTATGTACTCATAGAATTTTATAAAGATTAAGCAAAATGAATGCAACATATATGTAATTGGCATGCAATAATTTTCATTCCATGTTATTCATTAGTTAGCTCTGTCAACTTGACACAGTTGTCTGGAAGGAGAGAGCCTCAATTGAGGAACTGCCTAGATCAGATTAACCTATGGACATGGCTCTCAGGGATTGTCTTGATTTATTAAGCCTTAATTGATGTAGGAGAGTCTGGCCCACTGTGGATAGTATCACCCCTACGTAGGTTTGAATGAATCTGTGAGAGAGTCAGAGAGCAAGCCAGCAATTAGTACTCCTCCATGGATTCTTCTTCAAGTTCCTGATTGAATTCCAACCCTGACTGTTCTCAGTGATCGACTAGTGAACTGCAAGTGTAAATCCTTTCCTTCCCTAAGTTGATTTGGATCATAATGTTTTACCACAACAACAGAAAGAAAACTAAAACACATTTTATTTTCATCTACCATCTATCCATCAATCTATTGATCTACTAAGTAAGCTAAAGTACGTACCTATTTGTAAATCAATTCCTCTCTTTTTAAAATGATCCTTATCTTTATATTTATATATTGATTCCTCTCTTTTTAAAAATGATCCCTATCTTTATCTGTCTGAAACTATGCATCACAAGACAGGGGCTTGGTCTGTCTTATTCACTGACTTTAGGTCTTAGAATAGTATTTGACATGAAAGTACAAAAAACCTGAGAAATACTAAAACCTTTCCTTTCTTAGTTCACAGAGTAAGTAATGTTCTTTCCTATGAAATTATAGATCATCAATAGTGTTGAAACTCATTTTGTACATGTCAAGTGTTATAAAAGACACATGCATTGTTAATGAATATGAAGAGTGATACTGAATTCTTTAAAGGGTGTGTGTGTGTGTGTGTGTGTGTGAAGTATGTATGTGATCGAATATGTATGAAATATGTGTCTGCAACCAAATCCCTTCTGCCTGGAATTATTTCAAATGACTTCAGGCCATCTATTTTGTGTTTTTGCATGGGAGAAGAAAAATGCCATCTTATTCTAGGTAAAATATGACTGACCAAATTTCAAACTATATTAGCATCAAATAGATATCCACAAAGAAGAGGTAATTTATAAACATCAAATGTTCAATCATAAGTAGCAGGTAACTCATATTTGTCCTTTTTTGTAAAATAGGGATCCTTTGCATTTATTTTGCCTTCTTAACAACTTGATTAAGTTGTTAACAGAGTTATCTTCTCTTTCTAACTGTAGAATAATTAGGAGGTGAAATAATAAAAGTTTAAAATGCACTTCTATCATGTTTCTACTTTGCACAGATTCCACTTCCTAGTTTCAGTGCTTGCTAACTCTGGACCATATGATCATCATCACCAGGGCAATGAAGAAGCCAAGATGTAAGGCAATTTTCTCAGTTAAAGTCACATTCCATGACAGAGCTGGTATTAAATCTCTAGTCTTGACCTACAAGTGCAACCTCACCTCATAAAATAACTACTTGATGCTTTGCTGAAGGCCTGAAGTGCACAAGCAATTTCAGTAGGATCATGGATGTGAATCTTAGTGGAAATCTTTATTATGTTTTATTCTTTTCACTGTTCACTGTGAGAGAAAACAAGTGAACTACTCGAAGTTGTCTTACTCATTCTTTCCTTCCCTGACCCCCGCCACCATACCCAAACTAAATGCTCATCAAGACCTGAATTATTACTACACCACCACCTTGTACCTTCCTGCTGGCCCACCTTTGATTTTATAATTCATCTGATGCCCCAGAGTTCCTACCAAGCTCTAGTGCATCACTGTGACCCTATTCTTAAACCATGCCAGGTTGGAATGTACCTGTCTCGGAGGAGTTCTGATTGCGAGAGGTCATCTAGAGTGGTGTGTTGCTTTAGAAGAGGTTCACATACAGTTACTTGTGGCACAAAATAGTGGGAATCTTGTGATTCATCAGATACACAGATCTTCAGTTTACAACATAAGGCTTCACTGGTGACTGTTATAAGGAAGGTAATGGAAGCCAAGAACTTCCTAGGGAGCATATTCAAATCAAGTCAGTAGAGAAAATGAGGTCTAGAATCTGAATTTAAGAGTAAAGGGCAAATCTAAAGAGACGCTTCAGATGTATCAGAATGCCATTAATGAGGAGGTAGAGAAGAGCTAAAACAGGATAAGAAAACAGAAGTCAAAGGAGTAGATAAAGTCAGCGTGGAGAGGATGCCCCACAGTGTCTGTTGGTACAGCTAAAGGATGGTACAGCTGCTCCTGGGATGTCTATAAGAGACAGGGGGTGGAGAGGCGATGGAACATGGGGCAAGAGTTAATTCAAGGAACATGAACTAGGTAAGAAGGATTTGAAGCCCCGAGTCATGAAAGGGTTGAAATATGGTAATGTTTAACGAAAGACAAAGAAAAGTTTTTGTTTTTATGTCTGAAATGGAAAAGAGCAATGCCCAATCTTACTACTTACCCCTCTTCTTCCTATGTGCAGTTATTAGAAAAGGAAGCATTTTTCTTTAATGGGTAAATGTTAGAGACAGTGTTGTGTATATATTTGCTAAAAAGAATAAGGACAGGGACTAATAGGAGGAGAGCAACAGAATCTGAATCTATGAGAGGGAATGAATAGTTGGTGGGGCAAAGTCAAGGGACAGGAAGGAATAGGAATGTACGCTTCAATATTAACCTTAGGGGTTGGCTGTGGTAGCTCACAGCTGTAATCACAGTCAGAGGATTTCTGTGTGAGGCCAGCCTGGGTTACATAGTGAGGTCTTAGCCAAACTAGGATACAGAGAGAGAGAGACAGAGATCTTGTCTCAAAAAGTTAAAGAATGAAAGACTGAGCTTTGATAGCAGGAGCACACTCTCATTTGCTTACTTAGGAGGAGAGAAAGTAGAGAATCAACCCCTATACCCATATGCTGATGCTGTGAATTCAGTGTTCTCCTTTACCAGGTGAAGACCAAGATGTTTAGTAATATGCAAGAGGTTTGGGCATAAGAATAAAGATTTTGAGTAACTATATTAGAAATTTAGGAAGACTGGAAAACACTTCAGAACAATGCCAAAGTCCTTTCAGTGACATGGTTCTGGAATATATGTTTCCTAAATTTCCTATAGTGTGAGAAGTGTCCTTAGAAATTGTCAGTGTCCCCTCCTTGGTTACACATTTATTCCAAAAACAATTAGGAGCTCAAACTCAAAGTACATTACTATTGAGAAGAAAAGGCCTTGACTATTAGACAAGGAAAGCTGCTGTTCCAGGAAATGATACTTGTGAATGAAAAATTCTCATCTTGGGAAGGTTTCAATGTGGAAGAACGAGCAGTGTCTTTTCTGACTGCTGTGGAGGTAACTCTCACAAGCTGTGTAACTTCTGGCAAACTGTTCCCCACTCCTGATCTGTGTGACCTTGAGTAAATCTCCTATCCTCCCTGAAGCTCAGGTTGCACGTTTTAAAACCTCACGAGCACAAAGGAAGAAACTTGTGCAAAGCTTAATGCACATTGACTAGCATTGCCTTTTCCTCTAATCCCGCCCCATCTCCCACCTGCCACACATCCTAAGAGATTGCGATTCTTAGTCAGCCTTTAAGAGACTGGCACAAGGTAGGTGCTTGGAAAAAGTCAAGATTTTGGACAGCAGAGGAAAAAAATATCATATCTTAGGGTTTGGAACATCTATCAAGGCTCAAATTTGTGAGGCTCGCTCTAAGCCACTTCATTGACATCTTCAGCTATAGTTTAAGATTTGCTTCATGATAAAGTCATTCTTCATCACTTCAGTCTATTTGTAATCTTTACTATATAGAGACCTCAATCTGGGATTTTTCTCATAAATATTCTTAAACCAGGGTGGGGGCATTAGGGGAAAATCACTGATGTGTGCCTTATTCCTTTTTGCTAAACTTCACAGAGGAGCGGACAATTTCTTCCTTGAATCTGGGACAATGCTTCTTGGTAAATAATGAAGGTCATAATCATGACATTGTAATCCTCTCATTCCATGGCATAATTATCAAAAGGACTGGAAAGTGTCCTTGGGAAAAAAAAAATCTGAAGACGAGCGAATGTTAACATTAGCTTTAAATACCAAGGAGCAGAAAGACCAAGGGTGACCTAGAAAACCATAAACATCAAAAAGGAGCTTGGGGCTAAGGGATATGTGGATTTTTGTTCTTCATCTCAGTGTCTGACATGAACATAGAGGGAAAGGAAGGGAATCAGCAGTGGCCAAACATGTTCCAGCCAGATCCAGGTCTTCTTATGTACATTCTTTTATTTGTACCTCCAGAAAGCCATCAGCTCTCTGTCTCTGTCTCTCTGACTTAGACCTTAAGCTTATAAATTAAAGAGTTTTCTGATGATCCTAGACAGTTTTTAATCTGGGATCCAAGCCAGATCTTCAGTG